GGGATGCCATACAGATTCATGTCAAAAATACCGAACTATCCCTTTAAACTGTAATTTGGTTTTCAACCGTGTTCCCCTTCCTCTTTGTACATAGTAGTTAGTTTAGTTTAGTTGAGTTTTACTAGTCTTAGTTGAGAGTTTTAAACTTAAATATGTTCGACTTGGAGCTGAATGATTTTCGTTAATAAACTCATATTTTGAACAGAAGTTGTGGTAAATTTATTCTATGCATGTGCAGAAATAACTGTTTGACCACGATTAGTGCTCGAATCACTCTTTCATCTATTGTTCTAACACACAGTTAGTGGGACTGTGTGTCATAAACAATCTATAACAGCTCAAATATTATCTGATTAAATAAGATATTTTACCCCACCTACAGGGGAGGGCAGTAAACATCTTTAAGTATGAGAAACATAAATTCCCAGCTGGCTGGGAATAGAAAAGAACATAAAATCACAACACTGGCTATGAAATCTCTGACCCTCTTTCATTTCCTTTAGGGATATCACCCCTCCTTCTGCAAACCTGCTGCGTGCACTTAGCTTGCGTAGCCGCCTGTGGCCCAGGCTGCCTATCACAACTCTAGTCCGGCGCGCGCTGATGACGTCATACACACCCTGCTTTGTTTTTTAAAAATACAAATATAAAAAATATAACCGCGGATGTTTAGGGGACAGTGATTTGCATACATGTTATGAATGTTGGCGTACTATAAATAATAAATTATGAACAGGTTAGTTTGTGCATTCAACTTGTTGCCCATAGGAAGACGTTACTTGGATATAACAAAACCAAGGCCGTTTCTCAATTCACGAGTATGGCAAGCCAAGAATGCCACTATTCACATCTAATTATCACGTTAAGATTGAAATTCACCCACTAAAAGCGCCCGTTTTTCCAAAATTCCGCCGCTTTTACCAACAAGCGCCGCTTTTTACGTCTTAACACGTTCTGCACAGAGCTCTGTGTGGGGTCTCCGGGAGTGTGGCATCGGTCGGTGGAGTAAGCTTCCATCGGTGCATGGAGAGGTTTTGAAGTCGCTTGTGGAGAAATGTCCTGGGCCGTGAGTAGCGAGGAAACAGGAAGTGATTCTTGTGGGATGGAAGAGGGAAATAGTGAAAACGAAAAAGATTGGAAGAGAGTAGCAACAAAAAAATTAGAAAAAGCGGAAAAAGCAGAGATTGATTGAATGGGACTCAAGTTCAGAACAGTCAAGTGATGATCAATCTAGAAATTCTACAGGAAACAAACAAAATGAGTACAAAGTCATATTCAAGCTAGTTAATTAGAAAGACTCTTTTGCAGGTTGGAATGCGGTTCAGTTAACAAAATCCATAATTAAACTTTTAGGAGAAGTCCAAAGTGCCAGAATACTTTATAGTGGAGACCTGTTAATAAACTGCAGAGACAGCGCTCAACAAGGCAAAGCTATTCGGATTAACAAAATTGAGGGGATAAGAGGTCAGTGCAGCTTGCTGGAGAAAAAAATGATTAGCAGGGGAGTCATTGGAGGAGTCCCTCTTAAAGTATCTGAAAAAGAGATTCTAGAAAACATAAGTGGTGCAAAAGTAAAAGATGCTAAAAGGTTAAAAACAACAAGAAATGAAGAGAGCTGTGACAGCTTATCTGTGTTAATTAAATTTGAAGAAGAGCAGTTGCCCAGCAAAGTTTTCATTGGCTACATGAGCTACAATGTGGAAAGAAAAATGAAGAAAGAAGCTAAGCTCAAATGCTGTAACTGTGATGGAGAACATACTGCTGCATATCGCAGGTGTGAAGTGAGTAAAAGGTCTAAGGAAATTTAAAAAATTGAAATTTGAGCTCAGACTAACATATGCTGAAGCTGCAAAAATGACCATATCCCAGTCAGAAAAACCCAAACCTACAGTTCAGCACATGGCAAATTCAAAACCTCTGGAGCAGCATCCCAAAATGACAGAAGATTCATTGATTGTAAAGAAGAAAGATTTTGTTCTTTTCATGATTGAAGTGATCAATTGTAGTGCTCAAATGACAAGAAAAAATGAAAAAAATCAAAATAATAGTGAAAGCTGCAGAAAAGTATCATGAAGTTTAAGATTTAAACTGGGAAATGGTGGAAAGATGATGGGAAAACCAGTTGGACAGATCAGAAACTGGCAGAGTTTAACCTAAAGATAAATTAGAATTATAAGGGCAAATTTGATTAATTATTTATTATGTTGGGTTCAGTTAAACTGTTTTTTTTTTTTTTTTTTTCTGGGGGTGAGTCGTTTCCTGTTTCCTTGCTTAACTCCTTATCATTTGGTGTTGGTAATAGACTTTTAACTAGTTTGCCAACTGCCATAAAACCACACAAGAAGAAGAGGAAGAGCTCTGTGTGGCAGCGTTACCAAAGTTCACTGCATTGTCGTTTCACAAAGCCTTAATTTTAGGAATATATCCACTACATGCACTTTGCTGTTATTTTGAATCCATTTCCATGCATATTTTCATGTAAAAACGTTTTTCATAGACATACATCGCTTACTAATGTCTTGTGCTGTACAGGTATTAGTCGGTTAAAGTGGCCGCATATAATGCATATTTTTTGCTTCAATACAGCTTCGAATCCGGCTGAGACAGTTCAACTTTTCCCTTTATATGCTCTCGTCTCCAACCAAGCCCGTTTCGTAGTTTTTTGGGGTTTTTTTGGAGAATATAACCCATAAATTAGGCTACCTCACTGTTGTTTTTGACCCATCGCAATGCATTCTTTCATGTTAAAACTTTTTACATTGTGCTAATAGAATGACAATAAAGGGGCCACTTGTGTTCCAGAAAATGTTACTGTTTGATACGTTTTCTGTGTGTTTCCTGCATATGACTAACCTTAACCCAAGCTCATAATGCTTTCTAAAACCATGGAGCAACCGCTGTTGCATTCTTGGCGAGAACGTAAGTACGGACTTGCGTTCGCGTCAAGTCTGGTGTTGGCAAGAACACAAAAAAGTCTGGACTTGGTGCACGCCAGCTACCATTCATTCATCCTGTCCGCTGAACTGCTGCTAGTTTTACTCACATGCCTGGAAGATGTCTAGTGCTACTACCACAGATGATCGCGCTCTCGAAAGGGAATTGAACGATTCAGATTAGCTAGCCGAATTAATATAAGGGGTAGAGCATAGC